GGGGGGGGTCAAGCGACGACGTCGAGGAGCGTCGGGACGCTCTGTGATATTATGACGCGTATATACAATAGTATCTTATGTGAAATTAGCCGTAGACTAATATATCGAATATCGTAGGGGTCGGTAAAATCGCAGTAATAGATGTTTGACTTCGCGAGTAATTATCAGAAATAATTTAATAAATCAGCCTGCTGAAACCTAAGTGTAACCATCATGGAGAATAATTAAATTTAGGGTAATTAAATCTACCCGAGTTTTCAAATTGAATCTCTGCCGGTGGCGCTAATAGATAGCCGAAAGTCAAGGCTGTCTAATTAGTGAGGACTATGCTGATTATTCGGGAGACCAATTTTCTAAGGTAACTAACCCATCTTATGCTAATTGGTGCACGCTGGTACCGAAAACATGAAAATTTTTTTTTTGTTTGTAACTTTTTTTTTTGTAACAGTTTTGTGAATTCTCCGCGGGGACGACGCGATCTTAAAGAAATTTACACAAGATACGACCCAACTTGGGTTTTCTAACAAACTTCTAACAGCAGGACCCGGGACCTCCTGGTCTGGGTCAAGGTTCAAATTGTTTAAAGACCCGAGTACCTTATCACGTTCCATCGCTTCTTATCTCTGTGGATGATCTGGCGTGAGTGTCAAAACTGTGAATACCAAGTATTTTGTCATTCATATCTCATTGGGAAGAATATGGATTAGCCTTTGAATTGATTTTCGTTTTTGAAACTCCAAATAGAAATTGAATTGAAGAATATTTGGAGAATCCACAATCTGACTGTTTACCATTATCTGGGATTGTTATTTGCGTGTTATTTTTCGTCATATCCACATATCACTGTGTTACTCTTGAGTATTTTGTTATTCAGATCGCATTAGGAGAAATATGGATTAGCCTTGGAATTGATTTTCGTTTTTGAAACTCCAAATTGAAGAATATTTGGAGAATCGACATCTGACTGTTTACGATGATCTGGGATTGTTATTTGCGTGTTATTTTTCGTCATATCCACATATCACTGTGTTACTCTTGAGTATTTTGTTATTCAGATCGCATTAGGAGAAATATGGATTAGCCTTGGAATTGATTTTCGTTTTTGAAACTCCAAATTGAAGAATATTTGGAGAATCGACATCTGACTGTTTACGATGATCTGGGATTGTTATTTGCGTGTTATTTTTCGTCATATCCACATATCACTGTGTTACTCTTGAGTATTTTGTTATTCAGATCGCATTAGGAGAAATATGGATTAGCCTTGGAATTGATTTTCGTTTTTGAAACTCCAAATTGAAGAATATTTGGAGAATCGACATCTGACTGTTTACGATGATCTGGGATTGTTATTTGCGTGTTATTTTTCGTCATATCCACATATCACTGTGTTACTCTTGAGTATTTTGTTATTCAGATCGCATTAGGAGAAATATGGATTAGCCTTGGAATTGATTTTCGTTTTTGAAACTCCAAATTGAAGAATATTTGGAGAATCGACATCTGACTGTTTACGATGATCTGGGATTGTTATTTGCGTGTTATTTTTCGTCATATCCACATATCACTGTGTTACTCTTGAGTATTTTGTTATTCAGATCGCATTAGGAGAAATATGGATTAGCCTTGGAATGGATTTTCGTTTTTGAAATTCCAAGGAGAAATTTAATTAAAAAATTTTTTCTGACAGTTTACCACGATCTGGGATTCATGGACCACATACAGAGATGTCACTGGACAATGAGAAATGAATGTTATTTGCGTGTTATTTTCATCATATCCACATATCACTGTATTACTCTGAAGCATCTGACGATCTCTGGGTAAGACAGGATAAACGTCCAAGACTAATGAGTCTAATCAGTTCAAAGTCCCCAATGGACCAAAAGACTTTATCTGACGTTTCTCAAGAGTCTTTATTATCTGTCCCGTCTACAGAGACAAAAAAGGTACTGTTTTTTTTTTCCTACCTAGAACCAATAATAATGGCCCTTCGTTACGTGGGTGCCATTGTAAAAGATTTTCTTTATAAAAAAATAATTATTTTTTATTACAGATAAATGATCGTCAAGGTCCACACGACGAGGTGTAAAATTTTTTTCGTCTATCTTCCATCAATTCATCCACAATACTCGAATTCGTATTATGAGTATTTCTAAAGACGATTTAAAGGATTTGCAGCATCCTCTTTTAAGTACCACCATAGGTATATCATCTATCATGATTGATACTTCTCATCGAATGGTTGTCAATGAAACCGTCTTTGATTCCAATAATCTAAAATTAATCTGGCGACCCTTTGAGAATTGATCTTTGTACTTATTGCGTGAACCGTTAAGTATCTCACTTAATCTTATTCTTCCTCTTCTTCCTTTGATCTCATCCTCTTTAACAATTTCCTACTCTGTATCAGTGTCGTCACTTTTACTAATTTCGTACGCGAATAATTAATTTAATGAACAGCCATTATTAACCTTGATTAGATTTGATGACTTGGCACTGATGGCTCCTATCAATTTTAACGTCTACTTGATAACACCACTGTAGACTAAGAATAATAATCTAAGCCTACCGTGTACGCAATTAATAGAATAAATTCACGAACGAACTCCTCTATTCTCGCTGGGATAAGCTTAATCGTCCTCTTGGTTATCTTTTAGCAAAAGAGCAAAGATTAGGACATGGAAAGTAGAGGTTAGGTTGGGTCATTAATGTTAGCCCGATCACTCCTGCTAATTGTTAGTCAAATTGAATCTAAATTATACGTATATCGATCGTTCGATTTTACAGTGAGGTAAAAAAGTAATATTGACAATGGTGTAGTACAAGCTTTATTTTTATTTTTAGCTCCTGGCACTCGTACAGTCACAAGTACGATGACAAAACAAGGCAGAGCGAATAGAATCGGCAGCTTATTATTTACCAGAATCGGATACTCAGGATTTGTCACGAAATTCCCTAAAGATTCGAAAGCTAGTCAAGAGCCATTGGAGCTTCTTCGGAAGCTGACTATTCTTGCTGTTTATTCGGCTGAATTTATACTGCCAGCTGTCCAAATGGCAAGGGTGCTCGTAGGAGGCCATCTTTTGTTTGTACAATAGGGGGTTGAGGGGGAGGATACCATGGCACCTAAACGTCAAGTTGGGATGGTGAATTATCTATTTATATGTGCTCCGGGAAATTGGAATTAATTTTGGATTTTGCTGTCAGAGAAATGTCAGGATGGATTTCCGCGTCGAGATTTTTGTTGTAAAAAAAATTGTAATAGAGAATCGTAGGCTGATTGAGAGGTTTTGGTTTTTTTTTTTTTTTTTTTTTTTTTCTTGTA